CTCAATCCTTTTATTCCATTGCTCGCGTGTATTGTTTTTCTTTTTTTTATTAATAATTTTATTTTATTTTATTTTTTTTTTAATTTTCGTATCCATATAGATACACGAGTTATTTTAAATTGGAATAAATTATTGTTATCTGAAGTATTTTAATTCATTAAAATTGAATATTTTTTCTTCTTCTTTTCTTTTTATTTCTTTGTTTGTTTTTTATAATTTATAACTTTTCATGTTAATACTTTCAATCATTTTAATCGTTTGCTCATAGTTTATACATATATATATATATATATATATATATATATATAGATTCTTTTTTGTTTAATATTAGAAATTTGTTATGTAAGATTTATTTTTAATTATTATTAAAAAGGAAAGAGTATTCTTGAGATTAAAATTAAAATTATTAACTACTAGTATTTATTTAGTAGCATTTATATTTAATAAATTATTTACTATTTTAGTAAAATAATTTACTAAATTATTTTAACATATTTTAATTCTATTATAATGAAATATAAAAAAAAACAAATGTTGACCATAATATTAACACACAAGATTTTCGTGTTTATTAACAAAAATTACGACTATAAAGGATTACATTGATGTTTCTTTTTGTATTTATTTTTCTATTTTGATAATTGCTATAATTAAACAAAAAGAAAATTAAAATAATAAAAAAAAAACCTTAATAGTTGTAAATATATTTTATAGAGGGATGATATATTATGAAATTATTATAATAGACGTGATATTCTTCGGTAACAATGACATCTTTAATAACCAATTCAACAACATTACAGTGTCATAAGTTTCAATTATTACATACGCAATTCGATACTTGGTTTTGTATTTTTTTTCTTTTTTTTTTTTGCTTTTTCGTTTTGAGTTTTTTTTATTCTTAAATATACATACATACATGTCTCTGTCGCAAGTGTATTTTTATGTATACGTATATATATATATATATATATATATATATGTATATGGCTGTTTGTGTTTGTGTAATGAATCTCTCTCGTGTTTAATTGTTTGTTTAGATTTTTTCTTACTGCACATTCATCTCTTATGTGTCTTTATATGTATATGTGTGTGTGTGTGTGTGTGTTTTAGCAATCGATGTGTTGTTTTTCTATTTTTATTATTTATTTGTGTGAACATTTGTCCTTCGAATTGTTTTAACATTATAATAGAGAGAGAGTTGTTAATACGAACGAATTAACTAATTAAAAATTTGTTGCTCATTTTAGTTTATTTCTTCCTACCGTTTCTTTTCACATTTGTTTTATTATTTCGTTTTATTGCAAATTTCTATTACTCATTGTAAGATAATGTTATTTAAATCACATTGTACGATCGTGTATGTTCGATTTAATTTCATTCATTTGTGCACGTATTAAATTTATTTAACGTGCGTGTGCATAAATGTATATATATATATAATGTGTGTATGTATATGTATGTGTTAGTGTGTGAATTGTACATAACACACGCGTATCTTTTATTCTTCTTTTTTTCTTTTTTTTTTTTTTTAGAGAATTCTAATATATGCACGCGTTCTTTCGATTAATATCAATGCCTTATTTTTATTTTTTATTTATTATTGTTTATCCTTCTTTGTTCTTTATTTTATTATATTTTTTTTTCTTTAAATAAAAAAAAACTTATAGACGATATGTAACATTTTTAATTAATAGATATGTTTTAAACTTTTTACCCGCTGACGGATTAACAAACGATTCGTTAACAACAAATTGGAAAGCATCAAAATTAGGATAATAATAAGGGAAAATTCTATAATTAAATAAATTAATTAATTACATATATATATATTTAGTAACAAGTTTTAAACATTCTATGCAAAGTTTTAAAGTGAACAAGCTTTTGAAAACAAAAACGAAAAATAATTATCATGCACCTTGGTTCGATTATATATCTATGTATATATATATTTTTTTTTTTTGGGTTATTTTCCTCTTTTCATTTTTCCATGAATTTTGTGAAAATGTTAGACGATTGAACCTATATTTATATTCATATAATACACAAGTAGGCAAAGTATTGTATTTGATACGCGAGATTCGTTATGTTTTTTATTTTTTATTTTTTTTTAACTTTTTCTTATTTTCTTTTATTTTATTTATTTATTTCATCTTGTAATTATTATTTTTTCTTTCTTTTCTTGTCAATTCGTGTCACTCTTTAGCAATAATCTCATTCACACTCACACGCGTTTACGATATTACGTATCTCGATATATTTTTTGTATATAGTGTATATATATATATATGTTTATGTATATGTATATTATATTTACAAGAGATAAAAGAGAAGCTACGAATAACTTCTTATTATTAATATTAATAATAATAATAATAATAATAATAATAATAATAATAATAATAATAATAAT